TGAATAAAAATTTGTAGAGAAAAAGCGTTTAAAACAAGATAGATGTAGGTGTTCCGTTTATTTAGTGGCACCCTGTACTTCTTGTATTTGAAATAGTCAAAATGGAATGAATGATTCTTTTAGAAATAGGAGCAGTTGATGAAGACTTTTTAAAACCTTAAATAAACTTTAAATAAACCTTATGTGAGAAAGACCTTAGTTCACCCGGGAACCTAACACTTGTATGCTGACAGATAATCACACAGATTTCGAGTCCTGAAAGGCACAGGAGTGAAAATTTGTTTCATCTATCTGTATTAAGCTGCCTATCTTACAGAAGTAAGCAAGTCCAAGTCCGGACTTGAAGCTTTTTCCGACGCACTTTGACCTGAAGCTCACAAGACCTGGACTTGGGGATTTCTTCAAGTCCGTTCGAAGTCCATGGAGTTAAAGTCCATTACATTCAACAAGCGAATGAATTTAATTGATATCTAATTTATTAATCTGTTTTTTTGTCAAAGATGCATGAATGTACATTAAGTCCCAAAATTGTTCGGACAAAGTACAGTATTTTGTTCTTTTTATATCTCAGAGACAAAAAGGATAGAAAGCGTCTCTTTTCAGCATCTAGTTTAAACTTTTATTTAAAATGAGAAGACATAACTAGTAATGATCACAAGCAAGTGGGGAGGCACTCATAATAGTAATCATTATTTCATATGAAATAGGAGCAGTTGATGAAGACTTTTTATCTCAAATCTTTGTTAATTTTAAGTTCTTTTACCAGAAAGGCGAAAATAGTTGGGGATAATAAAAAAGAAATACGTTTTTAACGTTGATTATTTTGAGATTCCATCAGAGCACGTCGTTTTTAGAAAAAATAATATTTTTGAAAAATTCAGCATAGGTTTTACACAAACCTCGATATGAAAAAAGAGCTGGTGAAAAACTGACTTTGGAATCACCGTCAAAAGCTGCATTGAACAATCTTTGTTTCGGAATTTTCATTTTCGCTGAAAAATGGAAATTGTCTATCTCGGTCGAAAAAATGGAAAAAAATGAAAGTTGTCTAAAAATTCCAGAACAAAGATTGGTCAATGCAGCGTTTGACGGTGATTCCAAATATGATGTGGGTTTTGAGAGAAAATTGAAATTTGATGGTGAAAACTGCAAAATATGAGTGCATCCTTGATTTTTCTCGTATTTGACTTATAATGGATTGAGCCAATTTGGTCACTAGGTAGGGGATGTTTGAAAATAAACCATTTCTCCTTGTAATATGGTACGTAACTATGGTTCATATACCATTTTATTCAGTTTTTCATTAGCTATTTTTCTATATCAGACACAAGTTGGATCAGCGTCTGCATATGGAGAAAAGAGTACTCAAAACATCGCTGATACCGTCTTTTAGGTGCAATTTCGTCTCTTCTAGAAATTATAAGTGACTCGGCCAATGATGGTTAAAGGTCCTCGATATACAATATTGTAGAGTAGATAAATGGCTATTTTTCTATACCAAACACAAGTTGGATCCTCGTTTGCATATGGAGAAAAAGCACATAAAACATCTCCGATACCGTCTTTTAGGTCAATTTGTCTCTTGTAAAAATAATTTCTTCCTATTGAAATGATGTATAAGGATTGTTCATAGAGTACTTTATTCAGTTTTTCACTAGCAATTTTTTCATATCAAGGTTGATGTAAAACCTATGCTGGATTTTTCAAAAATATTATTTTTTCTAAAAACGACGTGCTCTGATGGAATCTCAAAATAATCAACGTTAAAAACGTATTTTGAGCTTACTTTCCATAAGAACAACTGGGCAATGTGTGCAAATGTCTCTTCGACAAAAGCCCAGGCAAAAAAATGAGGGGCCGCTTTCTGATGAAGTACGCCCCCCTCCTTTTTGATCCGCTTCGTATTTTCTTCATTATTTTGTTAATGGAACCTCATGGAAACTTGGTTGACATCTCATTTTGTGCCAAACTGCACGGGCTGTCGACTGGTGGGGTCGAAAAAGTTTCAAAATGAATTTCAAGATCTTTAGGTTTTTGGAAATCGTTTTTTCCAGATCCGGTGATGGTGCATAGAATTGTTTCATTGATATAGGCAGAACGCGACGAGCTCTTTCATTTGAGACCAAATTCAAGGTTCTGCGTTAGGGACTGCGGTTTGAACAAAGTGTAGCACCGAAATTTGAACAAGAAAATGCTCTAAAACTCTAAGGATCAACACTTCTCGAACTTTAAACCGAGAAAGATCGTGAACATAGGCGGCGGAGCGCCTTGAATCTGGATGAGGCTCATAGTGTTTTCTTCTCTCTAGTCGAAGTTCGACGATTAAACTTTTATTCAAGTGTCACAGCAAGTCCTTTTTCAACTTCAGCTAGCCAACCAGTCATGTTCGAAACTAGGTGAGGCTGAGCCTCCACTGGCAAAATCTGGGTGAGGCTTGAGCCTCTGAGCCTCAGTGGCCCCGCCGTCCTTGATCGTGAAGAAAATAACAAAAATTGCCCAAGGTTCTTGTTGAAGTTCTAGATGTGCATTACGATTGCAGAAAGTAATCAGAAAACATATTCAACACCTTTTGTCTTACAGAGAGTTCAAAGTTGGATATAGTTCCACCAAATCAACTATCATCCAAACATCTATATGCAATCCAAAAGCTTTTTCTATCTTGAATTTGCCACTATTGGCAAAAAGTGCTGAAATGAAAATAACCACTTCTATTGGAACACAATATAACACCATTTCCAAAGCTTTACCACTTTGGACAAAGTAAAAGTCTTGAATCTTCTGGTTTGACAACTCCTTCACAAAACTTGAATATACCTTCAGGCTTTGGGAGTGAAACAACTGGCGGGAAGATAAAGAGTTAATTAGAGCTATCTGGCGCCAAATTCGAGTTTCTTTTTTGCGCTCGAGTCTGTTTCTGTCACAATTGGTGGGACGATTCTAATTCGAGCTTTTTCTCAAGAACTCATGCAAGAAACTACACTTTTTCGTATTAGTTTTGAGCAAAATAATAGCTCTTTGCTCAGTTTTAGGCATAGCAGCCATTTTGAATTTCTATTGGTTGATGCACAGAACGAATTAAACCGTAGTCCATTCGTATGATGATACTTTTCAGTGTTGAAATAGTAAATTGAGCACTGGAAATTATTTCTTTTAAAGTTAGATAAATCAGACAGAATAAACAAAGAGTAAAAAGTCTAATATCCGTCTTTAGGCGCGAAAACACTTTGGCAGTGGCGCCTTAATAACGACGCCAAAAGATAGAGATAAAATAATTTTTTTTCTGAATTTCCCTTTTCCAGATTTTATGCCAAGTTAATATAAAATTAATTCTACAATTTTATATATATATAAGTCTGTTTCGTACTTTTCATAAGAGTAAATAAATTAAAATGTGTTTATTTTCATTTACTTATCGACTGTACACATAAAACTGCAGAATAGACTCGAGCATGAAAAAAACCTGAATAAAACGGTTTATCTTTTTATTTATGTTTTGATAAATTAACTTTAAGGGTTCTATAGAAAACCAATTCTAGTAACCAAATAAAATGTGCAGATCACCATCACTGTTTTAACTCTACTAATCTCACTGTTCATTCAGTCCTCTCTCTGTGTCTACTGTGAGTAATTTTATCGTCCACAATGCGCTTCGTACATATTATTTTTAACAAAATATCGGTTTTTCTATCTGATGTTGTTTCTACTTTACTGTTTAAAATAACTCTTCAAATTATCTAACTTTCAATTCAGAGATATTTTAACACGTTAGAATCGAAACATGATGCCACTAATGACACCCCATCTCGGAAATTGTTTCCACAAAGGACAGATATCTTATATTCCTCGGCTGTTATAATTTGTTTCTAAGTCATAACAGTCTAGCAGATAGAACTCTTTTATATAAATCCCTTAACCTAGATATCTTATTAACGAGCACCAGCAAAGTCGTTTAGTATTTTTACTGAACAGCATATATGTTAAAATAAACTTTAAAGAATGTTGTTTTCTTTGTTAAGACATTATTTTCTTTTCCTACGATTAAAAAACTGATCGTCTTTTATGGGTGTTATGATCGTCTTTTTCTACAGATTTTATACAATACATAGAAAAACGTGGATATGTGTGCATGCGACCATCTGATGAAGAGTAGAATAAAATGTTACATATTCTTCAGTTTGTAAGAGAGACTAAACCTGTATTATGTGTATGTGAAAAACACGTATCGGCTTTGTTTTAATATATCTGAGCGGACGTTTGTTTCTTTAATTTTTAGTGCAGAACCAGCTTGCCATATTTACTATCGTGTCGTTTATTATAGTCGCCCAGTTGTGAAAATTAAATCGTCTTTGAAAACCTAACTTAATTATCTGTTGTGTAACGATGGCTGACAAATCTACAGATGATAACTTAGCAAGTTGTCAGCAAAGTTAACAAGGTAAGAATATAATAACTAACAGACGGACAGAATGGAAGGACGATTCTAGTCAGCACAAAAAGACCAATTAGGCTAATATTTCGAATGACAGTAGAGCAAAAAAGTCATTCATAAAAGAAAAGATGTTCGTTCATTCATTCATTAGTTGTATTTTCCATAAAAAATTGTTAATTTACCTGAAAAATGTGTATCGCGGTAAGCAGAGTTTCAAGTGTTTCAAGATTAAACTGATCTTATTCTCATCACTTTCCACACGGACGAAATCAAGGTATTTTTCGATACTCGTTTCGTATCAATGCGCACAAATGTATAAAGTGATTATTTTTTCAGAAAATCGTCACCAAAATGTCAGAAAGATTTTCCGGGAAAAAGACTTCTGAACATTTTGAAACGTTACCGAGATTTTCCTCCAGTCATGATCAAAACTCTTCCCAGTCAGATCTTCAGCAGCTTGTACCTCTACATACGCGTAATATGTGCCTGTAAAAGCAAATCCAGGTTTATGATCTCTTTTTATTATAGACAGTTGTACGTGGAAGTTCCCTCTATTTTTATTTCAAATCGAAATCATTCACCTGTAAGTAAAGATTAAAAGAGGTACACGTCTGTAATGTCTCTTAATTGTGTAATGTTATAATTGTGTCTTAGCGGAGAAATTACGTGAATTTATCAAATTATCGGCACCAGATATGGTAGTAACAGAATATATTGATTATACCTATTTATCACCAGATGGCAATGACAATCATAATACGCGAGGGATATTAGTAAGGTATGGAAAGAAAGGATAGGCCGTTTACATTGAAAAAGGTCAACCAGTTTTCCTTTTACTTTAGTTTTGAACATCAAAATTCGGCGCAAATATTCATGGCGAAATTTGATCAAAATAAAATATTTTTTACGCCCCAAATGGACGTTATGTATGGCCAAGAGCCACCGGAGTAACGAGGTCATCTTCGTTCTCATTTTAAAGCCTCCACTTCTCGTCGACTGCATATACAGATGTGAGACAAAGACAGCTAAATTGTCTTTTGCGTACTTTTTCATATAGTACTTTTTCATTTCGATAATGCTTGATGTTGTTGCATAATACATACACATGGATAAATGTTTTATTTTTTTACTTTATGTATCATGATGGTCACATTTTGAACAATAACCCATACATTTCATAATGTGCTAGGATTTTGTTGAGCTATTGTCGTTGAAAGGAAATACATGGATTAGTTTGTTAAAACGGTGTTCGATGTTCGTGAAGAGAAAGCACGTGTTTTGTTGCACGATATAGTAACGCAGTTTTACCGTTTTTCTTGGTGTACAGTTCATACCAAATAGGTTATTGATTCTACCTCTAAAAGAGCGAAAACAAAAAGAAAGTGTTGAAAAACCTAACTATCGATCTTTTACAGAACATTCTTTACTGATTCTTTTACTATGACACTATGTGCTCGATATTTAAGACGTTCAATATGGTTTTTGGAGTACATGCGTTTTCGTTTTTCCTCTAAATAAGCACATTAAAATGTTCTCTTTTATTATTCTCTTCATCATATGGGATTGAACAGCTGAGGTTTTCGAGTTCCAGTTAGAGCTGTGCCCCGTCATATCAGTGACCTTAAACACAAGTCGCTCATTGATGTTTATATACTAATAGGCGTGGAATGCAACATCTAAGAACGACGTCATTTGAGAGAGGTCTGAGAAAAACTGACATGAAGTAAATGCCAGAGTATAAAATAACCTGTTAAGTATTCAATCGCGCTAGTGCGATAAACTGACAAGAGAACAAACAGTTGTACAGGGAAAATTTTACTTGCAATGTTTGGCTTTACCTAATGCTGATTCGGAATCACCAACTCTCGAACAATAAAACCACATTGACCAAATCGGTAAATAGTTTTCTTTCCTAGTCTATTAGGTAAAGCGTTTTTGAAACTGCTCAAACATTGGCTTGTGGTTTAACAAATTTAGAAGCTGTTAAGTTCACAAAGGAAAAAAATAATAAAAACTTGATTTCTTGATTATAAGAGCTTGTTTTGTTTAGTTCACATTATGATCTAGATGAAAATCTGAATCTTTCAAAAAGTGATCTGGCCACTTTCTCCTAAATACCTCTTCTTCATTTTCATTCAACAATATTTTTACTAATCAGGCTTCGAAAAATCGATGTGTCAAATTTCTTTTGTTTCTTTTTTTAGTCCAAGATAAGCCTACATTAAATTGCTCTCTCATCAAGACTTTTAATTATAAAAAATGTAACAGAGGCCGTGAAAGGACGGACAGTGATAAAGGGGAATAGAATAAACTTTTGGTCATACTAGTTTTTTCAGCTCTCTTTCCAAAATCGAAAATCCTCCTTCGCCAACTCGAGTTGACAAGATGCTCCCTTGCTTTCTATCAAAAGAGAAAAAAATTCCTCCTGCATTTTTTGTGGGTTAATCTTTCAATAAATTTGCTGAAACAAATTATCGAAAGACTTGGAGGCGGTGCAGTGAACAAAATAGATTCAAGTAAGAAATATAGCACTGCGACAAAATGCATGTTTAAGTTTTCACTTAAAACACTACTGGGCAAATCCATCTGAAGTGTCCCACGTTTTACTAAAGTTTTTCCGCTTTATTTAAGACCAATCTAGTTTTATAGAGCACATCAAATTACGTTAGAAACTGTTTTTTCTGACTTCATAGCTCATGCAGAACCCGGTTTTCACGATCATTCTGAATACGTATACATTATATAACAAAAGATGATTTTAGGATGCGAAAAGCGTGTTTTTATCTGAAAAATCGAGGGATTTTAAAAACTCTCCCCATTATTGCAGTTCGGTTTTGGTGGCTATTGGTTAATATCATAAGTGTAGGGGGTCATAAAGTTCATTTTAAGGAAAAAATAAAGGTTCTGCAAGCTCCGCCAACTTGCGGCAGCTCTTTGTACTGAGATCACATTTTGAGAAAATCAGCTTTTTAGAAAAACGCCAAGATTTTTATTGAGTGAAATGCGTGATGGGAAAGATTTTTGATAGTGGTAGATAGTCCAAATTCTGCTCATTCCGAACATGTTCTTAGGTTGTAGTTTAATCAAAATCTACGAGAAGAAAATTGATTTTTTTCAAATAGTGAGCAAATTGCAGGAAGAATTTTCCGGCTAACTTTTTTTCCTAGGAGACGGTTTCGGACAAACCTTTTGTGGCCATTAGATAGCCCATTAGTTGAAATGTATAGGACGATCTTCAAATTGACAAAAAAGTAAACTTCGCACATTTAACCAAATTTTCGCCCGACGGCCCACTGTTTGAAGCTGGAAAAATCGTTAAGAAGCCTAGCGACTACGAACGCCGTGCCACTATCAGACTGTTTATGCCCACAAGTCTCTTCTTTCGCATGGAATAAATCGGAGCTCTCTGGCTGCTTTCTAGCAAAACTTATTCAAAAAACACCCACGGGTGTTCTATTTTGGCGTTTTTCTCAAAACTCATTTTTGTTCGAACAGGCCCAGTGTGGAACCCTTTTTTTAAATATACTTCAAGCTAGAGATCTCGGGTTGGTTTTACCTTAAACTAGACACCTAACTGCGTGAGGTGCTGGGATCCGATTTTGGATTTAGGTCTTCGTTAGTTTTCTAGAGATCGAAGATCATCAAAAACCCGAAAAAACGTTTTACGGGTTTTCCAGAGATTCTTGATTTTCTAGAAAAGGACATCCCAGCACCTCACGCAGTTCGGTGTCTAGTTTAAAATAAATCCAACCCGAGAGCTCGAGCTGATATCCTGTTAGGCTCTTTACTACCTAGTTATACTTTATCGAACGGCATACGAACGGAAAAAATCGGAGCGCGGCACTTCGAACGGTTTCCTCGTTAGAATATTTTCACTTATTTCATCTCTTTTACTTAGTCACCAGGTGCCAGTCCTCGGACTCGTAGGAAATCCGATACAATGCCCAAGCC